TATCCAAGTATTTGTGAATGCACGCTTTCTAAGCGTACTCGATCAAAGCTAAACGACACTTCACGCATATTCAAAGCTAAACGACACTGCATACATATTCTTTGTACTCGATCAAAACTATACGAATGTACGCATCATCAGTGTACTCGATCGAAGCTAAACGCGACATAGCACGCATATCCTGTGTACTCGATCCGAGGCTAAACGACGGCACGCGTATTCGTGCATATTTGTGGGAAAACAATTGCCGCTTATTCCGTCGCCTAATCCTCACGAGTGAAAAGGAACATTTTCTTCTTTTAAGTGTATATTAGGTATAAGGAATATTAGGGATAGGTATAAAAACAGTTTCTTTCCTAGCACGAGTAGCGCATTAAACAAGTAATTTTTTAATTGCAATAAAATTTTAAGCTTTCTTGTAAAATAGTTAGAAATATATTTATATATATTGTAACTTTTAATATTTGGAACACATTGGAATTCATTTTTTATGCGATGATGTGTTACTAAATTTAATCTTATCATATTCTGTGAAAAACTAAAAGACTACGCGCATATTTTGTGTACTCGATTTAGTTATTAGAGTTCAAAATTTAATAAAATATTATGCTGCTAAAATCAGTAAAATGGGTATGGGCAATCCATGATTCGCAGACTCTCCATTACACTGTTAAAGATAGCCCTTGTTTTAACTTTTAAGTTAACCTGCGATGTTTTTACAGTGCCTGCCAATCTTTTGCCTTTATTTATAAACTTTTCCCACTATAATAGCTCCTTTAGCTCAAGTAAACGCTTAGCAAGGAAGCATCTTGTTAAATTATAATTTTAGTTGTTCAAGCAAAGCGGGCGCAATTTTCTCAGATTACAGGGTTTGACAAAAAGCACCATGTTTGGCATGTAACTACATGTATATGATGGCAAAAATTTATACGTCATTTCAAAAGAATAGCCAAAATACTTGCATTGTAAATAATGAAAATGGAACGCGGTGCATATTATGTCTATGATGTGGATTTCGATGCGGATGCTTCGACGTAAATCGATACAAGACAATATAGCTACTTATATTTATAATCAATATTGCATACCGCCAAAATGATTTCATTACTGCACCAAATGTAGGTTTTGTATAGTATCAATTATGTACTGTATGCAGAATAGCAGGTGTGGAAACAATATATATTCACGTAAGAAAGAGATCTTGTAAGCTCTTCGCTGTGTTTATGGGATAAACTGTCCAAATTATATTTATGCTTAATTAATTAATGCTGGTAACTCATAACATAAGTTTATAAATTGTGTAGTTTCTCAAAGAATTACTCAATATTTGCGTCCGAAATGTTTGAAACAACACTCGTCGCTCCTCGTTTCTTTAGTTCTTACATCGTGAATATTTAATTTTCGCCACTCAGAAAATTATAAATTGACCCGTGACTATCACTTTAGAGACAGTGAATTTTGATCAATCAGAATGCAGGAAAATGAATAGTCACCTCGAAATTTATACTAAATACATTTAGTATTTTTTATATTCACCTTCAAATGCAGTTCTTGTGTCAATTCACTTGGGCAAAAGTGTTAAAACAACTCGGTGATTATCCCAGAATAATTGTTAAATATTCTTTGATATATGTAAAAAATTATCATTAGCCTCAGTTTGTTGTTCATCAACGGCTTGATAACCTTTTATGTATAAGGTTCTGAACTTCATTCAATGAATAATGATTGGATTCTAATAACAGTATGTACCAGCTGAAACCTTTATATGTATACATGTACTTACCCGTTCAATCTGTTTTTGTAATGCAGCTGGGTTATCATAGCAAAAGTATGATCCTAAGTAAAGATTAAAATAAGAATGATTCAGATAAGAACATTTTTTTATCAATGAACTTTATGAAAAAATATTAGTGGTTTTACTATTAGAATGTTATTCCTAAAAAAATGAACAAAGAAAAAGTTACAATTGAACCATACAAGTGAAAAGTTGAGTCTAAAAGGTGAAACTGCAAATTTAAATTTTAAATTTTTAATAAGACTATTTGTCACTTTGTATATGGTATTTTAAAATTTTAGTTTGGTAGATATTCAAATTGGAATTGATGTTTTTTGGTAGAAATCACAACTTCAAATGCTTAATGATCATTTCACTTTTATTTTTATATAGATCATTGTGAAAATTTTATTCATATCAAAATATTCCAAAATAAATTTTAAAGAGTTCATTTTAAACTTGTGATGTTCATAATTTTAAATATATATGAATTTCATAAAAAGGCCAATCCAAGCCTTTGTTGATAAACCTGCTTGTGATTTCCAATTTATATTTATATATATTAAGTTCACAAATAAACTTGAAAACTATTGGATTTGGAAATATTGAGGCATTTCAACACATATTTGCAGGTCTAAAAGGCTAAGTTGGGTAATCATAAAAGCTTTATCTGAAGTTTAAGTTGCAAATATATGTCTTTACACATGAACCTACTATTAATTTTAAAGCATATTACTTTTGCAGGAGTAATCTTGAAGTTACACAATTTTGCACAACAATATATGTGTATATGTGTCACGAAAATTCCTAAATGGTTAATAGGAAATGCAATAGTGTTAAAAATTTTAGAGACGATTCCAATAATTCAACTGGCAACTGCTGTGGCAATTTTCAAATGAAAAATGGGATAGTATATATAGCCATCCTGTGTAAAGATGATATTACTCAAGAGGTAAACTATACAGCTATTGGTAAACTATTACTATGAATGTGGATCAAAATCTGTTAGTTTAACTTCGTCAGAAACAGGAAAACAGCCAATCATAGTCGAGGAGCATATAATAAACTAAATAAAGTAGCAAATAAATATTGCTGACTCCGTCAATGAATTCTCCAGAACAGATTTTGAAAAAAGTGCACAGTAACGTTCCATTTCTAAGACACAGAAAAACGTTCCATCAGTAACGTTTTATTTCTGTTTTAGAAAGATAATATTGCACAAATGCTAATATACATTAGATACATTGAGTATACGACACGAGAGCACAAACATGTGTCACGTGAAATGTTCATTTAGTAGGAAGTGACTTACCAAAACTGAGCGAACATATGAACACGAGAACAATATAACGATGTAACCGACGTTTTGGATTACATATAGCCACACTCCCACAACCTTGCAACTCATCTTCAGGTTCTTTTTCCAGAAGTGGCTTGGTCTCGTTTTGATCCGCCGTGCGATCTCCCACTTCGTTATCCGCCATAGTTTGATATCAGTGCTTGATCCACGCACTGGATCCACCACAATCCACTGAGCTATACTATCACAACAAAATTCATGAATTCCTCAAACTTTCCTCATATTTCGGAAGAATTCCTTAGACACAAATAACAGTAACACAAAGTATAGCAATTACGTAATTTACAACTTTCATCGGCCACATGTGACCAATTGGGCCAAAAACAATCACATTTAACTTAAACCAGGCAAAAACAACTTAAGCACGAGTTTCAGCAACACTTGAAAAAATTTCCCCGAAAAAAAGTGATTCCCAGATCGCTTCCCAAAAATCTACCAATTTCCCCGTTTTGCAGAAAATTTCCCCAAAAGTGCGAGTAAATGACGAGCAATATAGAAAATATAGCACAGTGGTAATTGTACGTTGTTGTTAATTAGTTGTAGTTCTGGATGTCTGAGATTAAACAACTTTAAAACTTGTTGGTACCTCCAACTTCTTGAGTGTTTGAACACAACAGTCAACAGTGGCGACGAGCTCGAAGATTTCGGAACGGCTGAAATTGTCTGTTAAATATGGCTGCAATTAACCATTTAAAACCTAAACCGTTTGTCATTGCAGAACGTTTTTACATTTCACGAACGAAAGCAGTAAAGCTTCAGAGAAAGCTGTTGTCAGAGGCGGACTTGACGAGTTGAAGTTAAAAAAGCCTTAGATGTTGCCTGAGCATGGGAATGGCAGCTGAAGAAGCGAAAAGGCGTAATTGCAATTGCAGGCGATGGCCCTGAGAGGGATCATGGTTACAACAAGATGTCCATTGAATGCTTTCGTTTGTTACATCTGGATCAACAGCCTCACGTGATGCGAAAAAGGTTTCTTTCATTCTTCCAGGTCTTCTATCTGACGTCTTCCTCACATATTCCCAGAGATATTCAAACAGGTTTAGGTCAGAATTTTTTCGTTGCCCTATACTGATTGATATTTCTTTTTGTGGGGCTTTTTTCTCTGTCACATGGTGCCCTATCTTGTTCAAAGATAAAGTCTCCAAACCGCAAGCTCTCTCAACCTTTTAGAAAGTCCGAAGATCGTAAATTTTCGACTAGATACGGAAAATGGTATGTTTGGCTTGTATCTAGAACTTTCCTAATAGATGAGATGGCTTTGTGGTGGAGATTATATTTTCCAGTAAGATGGGGAACCATGTCATACAGAAAAGAGCCTGAAAGAAAGTGATATTGACCAGCCCAGGGCAATAAGAGATTGCTGACGTAAACCTCATTGAACATTTTTGGGAATAAGTGAGGAAAAGGTCAGATAGAAGAGCATCTCGACATGTGGAAGATTCGACAGTTCAAAATCAGCCTTGGCGGAACACGTATGTCAAACTAACCATAACATTGCATGGAATGATTCAAAGATCATTACTTTTGCAGAATCCCCAATCGATCCCGCGCACACTGGTCCACGCAAAAAAAACACTCAGGGGACTGTATTCTATCTTTTATTTAAAGATTCTATTTACAGCGTGAGTTCATGCTTCCTCTACGATCTGACTCAAAAGTTTGTATCAAAATTCAATGCAAGCGTTAATTAATAGTGCTATATTACATTACAACGTGTCTTTGTGCCGAATCAACAATGTGTCCTTGTGACGTATTTACAAACAACTAAACTATATTTACATAAAGTGCTCACGTAACTGCTACACGCGGAACTGGCGGCGCTGCGCGGGGACCTACAACATCCCACCCACCTTGATTCATACACGTCTATGAATCAAGCATCGCCCTTGTCTTCGCTTTTGAAATCTCAGCAGCAGCTCGTCTCGGACGCTCATGCAGATCATGCAAGGAACCCTCTGCCTCACCTGAAGGGGAATTCCCTTCCGTCCCGTTCCCACCCGGTCGAGCTTGAATTTCCAACGGGTAAAGTTTCTGCACCGGTCTTTTCAGGTAAACTGGTTTACCCTTTCCTGCTATTCTTAACTTAGCACCCCTAACCTCGCTGTCATTTCCTAAAATTAGCTGTTCTACCTTCCCTAGTTTCCACTTGCCTCGCTTCTCTCCTTCTCCATAAACTACAACTACTTCGCCCTCCTTCAAACTTCTTGCCTTTCGATTACCACTTTTATGAAACTCTCGTAACCCTATGAGATACTCACTTTGCCATCTGGTCCAGAAATGTTGTAATTTCAATGTAATATTTTGAATCTTTCTCCACAACTACTTTCCTCTCTAGCTACCTCCCTCCGTGGTATGAAATTAATTGCTCTTCCGTAAATTAAGTGTGATGGCGTTAATACATCGCCTTCGAATTCTTCATATTCTTCTGTCAATGGTCTGGAATTTAATGTGCCTTCTATCTCTACTAATACTGTGTTAAGTTCATCTACTGTTAATTTGGCATTGCCTAAAACCTTCCTGAGGCATCGTTTAACACTCCTAACCATTCGCTCGAAAAACCCTCCCCACCAAGGCGATCTTTCTAAGTTAAACCTCCAAGTTACGCGCTTCGTTAATAATTCTGCTTTTACTTTAGGTTGATTAAACAACTTCTTTACTGCTCTCTCTGCTGCCTTAAACGTCTTGGCGTTGTCTGACACTATTAGGCTCGGCATTCCTCTCCTCGCTGCAAATCTTCTCATGCAACACAGAAATGTCTCCGCAGACAAATCACGCACTAGCTCTAAATGTATTGCTCGAGTCACACAACAGGAAAATAATGCGATATACGCCTTCTTGGATGCCTTGGTGCAACACCTAACAAACAATGGACCTGCAAAATACTCCCACATTAGAAAAAGGGAGCAGCTTCCTTCACTCGAAGCCTGTGTAAGTAATCGCCATCCTGTCTCCCCCCATATGCCCTTTCCTTCTAATTTCTTACAGGTGACGCATTTTATTATCACTCGCTTTACCATTTGCCTTCCTTCACGACCCAATATTTCGTCCTTAGCCTGCCCAAGGTTGCCCTAACCCACAATGGTGCACTTCACTGTGACATTTCTGACAATCAGCTCAGTTAAATCTATTATCCTTGGGAATAATGATTGGGTTGTTTCGTGTTGTACTCTAGCTCAGAATTACGCAGTCTACCCTTACATCTTATGATACCTCCTTCTTCCATCAAGCCTAGACTGTTACTAATCTGGGCGTACTTTTTAGCCTCCTTTAACTCTGCCTGAGCCTGTTTAATCCATCTATTTTCCGCCTCGTCAAGCTCCTCTACTGTCAATTCTCCACAGCGCTTTTCCATGCCCTTAGACTTTGCTCGTGCATTGAACCCAAACCTAAGTACCCATGCTGTTACTCTGAAAAGTCGTTCCGCTGTCCCATAATCCTCCAGATTTATCACTTTGCTTATACTAGCTAACTCTTTACTACTAGCTACGACCATTACGGAAGACTTTCGTTCTTCTTCTAAGACCGTACTTGTTTTGGCAGCAGCCTCAAATTTCGGCCACTCCTCCTTAGACCTAATAAGCCAATCAGGCCCCACCCACCATAGCTTGTTATCCTTCAATTGTGAAGCAACTACACCCCTAGACCCTATATCCGCGGGATTTTCCACCCCAGGACAATGTCCCCAATCCTCCTTGTTTGTTAATTTCAGGATTTCATTTACTCTGTGGCGGACGAATTGTTTCCACTCACCGTTGTTCATTATCCAGTAGAGTGCTGTCATGCTATCAAGCCACAACTTCGTATTATCTATACTAACCTGGTTTTCTAATGAATCTTTCACTGACTTTAGTAACTGCGCTAAGAGCCTCGCAGACATTAACTCTAACCTTGGAATGCTAGTTGTTTTAAGAGGTGCTACTCTTACCTTTGATGTTAACATGCGGACATAACTTCCTACATTTGTATAATAAACAACATATACTACCGCACAATATGCTTTCTTACTAGCGTCGCCAAACCCATGTAATGTGCACCCTAAAACCTCTTCCGCTGGATGTTGGTATATGCATCGAGGAATAGTGATTTCCTTGGTCTCAATCAAATCCCTATACCAGATTTCCCACTTTCTTAAAGGCTCTTCCTTAAAGCTGTCGTCCCAACCCGTCTACTATTACAAACCTCCTGGAATAAGATCTTGGCACTAACTATCAATGGACTTATTATCCCTAGAGGATCGAACAAACTGGCTAAAATGCTCAGGAGGTTCCGCTTTGTTGGCGATAACGTCTCTGCCTTTTCTCCCACCTTGGAAATTTCAAATTTCAGTTCGTCCTTGTGGTTATCCCACACCTGCCCTAAAACCTTATGGCCCTTTGACTCACCCCCTACTGCTCCAAAGATAACCTAGCATATGTTTCCTGATCATTGATGCTTTGTTCTGACGAACCCTGATCTTTTTCGTGAATCTCTAGTTTACTCCTTAACACCTCACTGTTGGTCAACCACTTCCTTAATCTAAAACCCCCTTGTGCCATTCTTGTCTTAGCCTTATCATAAAGTTCAAAGGTCTTCTCTACCGTACTCTCACCACTGACCAGGTCGTCAACGTAAAAACTTTCCTGCAACTTTCTTACAAATGCAGCATCGATTTCGTTATACTTTGTTAAATGATGCCTTAAGGTTGCATTCAGTAGAAATGGTGATGCATTCACTCCAAAAACTACTCTACAAAACCTATAAACAACTATCTCCAACTTATCACTTTCTATATCATTGACCCACAAAAATCTCAAACAATCTCTATCCGCCTTATCTACTTCAACATTCAAAAATGCCTTTTCTATGTCACCAACTAAAGCAATCCTATTTTCTCTGAACCGTATTAATATGCTGTATAATAATGGATTGAGAGAAGGCCCAACATGTAGGCAGTCGTTAAGCGATGTCCCAGACTTACCTTCCTTGGATGATGCGTCATAGACGATCCGGAGTTTAGTGGTCACTGCCTCCCTGCGAATTACTGCCTGGTGTGGTAAATAATGAACCCTTTCAACCTTCTCTAATGCAGATACTGGCTCCACTATCCCTCGCTCTACCTGGTCTCTGATGATAGAATCATACTCTGCTAACAATGCTGGCTCTTTCCTCAGTCGTCGCAGCTGACCCTTCATTCTACTTAAGCTATTTGCATAGTTGTCAGGCAACTTCTTATGGCTCTCCTTCCAGGGCAGTTTGACTGAATATCTACTTCCTGTAAATGATATTTCATCTAAAAACTCTTCATGTACCTTATCTTCCTCACTAATGCCTAACCCTTCAAAACTCCATAATTTTTGCACATTACTCTCCAAACTGTCTTCACTACTCAATCTCTGTGCTACAAAATTCACTTGGACTGGCTCCGCTCTCTCAATGTCTTGTACTCTCAGCGGTCCTGATAAAACCCACCCTAATTCTGTTTCTATAGCAACAGGTTCTCCTGATTTACCTCTCTTGGTTGTCCCTGTCTGAAAGCTCCAAAGGTAGTCTGCCCCTATCAGAACATCTACTTCTAACTCATCTTCTGACTTAGAAACATCTGAAAACCATATACCTTCCAGATGTTTATACTCCCTCCGCGCTATCTCTACATGGCTATTTCCTATGCTACATATTTCCGGCACTACAAATGCTTCCAGTGTGATAACCTTATTTCCGTTAAGAGGTTCAAGCTTTAATTCAACCACTTCCCTGTGCTCGGCTTTTACGCATTTTTGACCGAACGTATTAATTCCTAACAATTCCCTTCTTATACCCCTGGGATTCGCGAGACCAGCTGCTTTGGAAGTAACAAAGGAACGATGACTTCCCGCGTCAAAGAGGACCCGCACCTTAACCACCCTTTCCCCCCTTAAAACGCCACGTGCAGTCTGCAAGGCAACCAGGCTACCAGTTCCAGCATGCAAGTTACTATTAGGAGTAGTCACATGCACATTCGTGTTATTGGGTACGTTTTTACATTCGTCATTAGGCTTGGGTATTTCGTCATGCTTACCCTCGCTCTTAGGACTCATTTCGCACAGTGCAACATGATGAGCCCCATCACAAACACTACATTTGTTCTCGACCTTACAACTACTGGCTCTATGACCCTTAGACAAACAAACAAAACATCTACCGTATTTGCGAGCCAAACTCTTTCGTGTCTTCGGATCCTTTACTCCCTCACAGTTCTCGTGTTTGTGGATCTTCAGGCAGAAAGCACAGTTTCCCTTCCTTTCACTCGCTATTAACGTGGATGCAGTTCCATGTTGTTGACCATATTTTCTACCCGACGCCGAACTCCCATCGTTTCTTTCGTACTCTCGACCCGACTCGATCCCACCGCATCGTGCGCTTCACGTAGTTCGAGCTCTTTCTCAAAGGCTTGTAGCATTTCCTCCATTGACCACTCCAGGAAGTTCTGCCCTCTCGTAATAGTCAAGCGAAACTGCTCGGGCAGCTTCTCCATGATCGTCGGAACAACAATAGCGGAATACGAGTTCTCGTTCACCCCCAGGGCTCTCAAGGCGCGGTTATTCGTTTCGCAGCTGTCAAACAACTTCCGTAGTCTCTGCGTGTCCCTTTCTTTGTAAACTGCCGGCAGTTGTATGAGTTCATTCACGTGTGCTCGTTGAACTATGCTTTTCTTTTCGAACCGTTTCTTAAGCAATTCCACTGCACAGTTGTAGTTTGTCCCTGTTAACGCTAAGCCGGCAATTGTAGACTTCGCTGGTCCTTCCAAATATCCGCGCAAATATGCAAACTTGTCAACGTCAGACAATGCGTCATTGTTGTCTATCGAGCTTGAAAACCCGTCCCAAAACTCGGGCCACTCACATACTTTACCGTTGAAGTTCTTAAGCTTTAGTTTCGGAAGCTTTGCTCTGACGATCTTTCCCGTACTGGCTGTCGATATACGGCTCTGGTCTAGGTTTCCTTCGTCTGGCGTCGTCAACAATGGCAGTCTTTGTTCACCGGATTCCCGCAGCGCGTCGTCGATTTTCATCAATGTCCTTTCAAATTCTGCGACCGCTTCGTCTGAACTTTCGACCTCTTTATTGAGCTGTGCTTCGGCGTCTTCATCTCCCGAGGCGCTTAGTATGTCAATGATCTGTTCATCGAGTTCCTTTAACCTCTTGACTTTCTCTCGTAACGTGACCTGGCTTTGTCTCAGCCATGTCAAATCCCTTTCTGCTTTCTCGTCAATCGCTCTCGAAATCGTTTCAACTATCTTCGCTACAAGTTTACTAGCCGAAGCTCGATGAGCTCCTCTCACCCGTCTTTTCCTCGTCAGATCGTCCATACCTTTCGTTGTTCAACTTCACGCTAAATCTTTTACACACGACGGCAGCGCAAATATCACTCGCTCTTTGTCCGCAGCCTCGTTCACCTTTCACAAATCCGGTTCGAAGGACCACTGTTTTGCAGAATCCCCAATCGATCCCGCGCACACTGGTCCACGCAAAAAAAACACTCAGGGGACTGTATTCTATCTTTTATTTAAAGATTCTATTTACAGCGTGAGTTCATGCTTCCTCTACGATCTGACTCAAAAGTTGTATCAAAATTCAATGCAAGCGTTAATTAATAGTGCTATATTACATTACAACGTGTCTTTGTGCCGAATCAACAATGTGTCCTTGTGACGTATTTACAAACAACTAAACTATATTTACATAAAGTGCTCACGTAACTGCTACACGCGGAACTGGCGGCGCTGCGCGGGGACCTACAACAATTACCACTAATGATCGTTATAGACAAAGGCGTTGTTTGGAATCAAATCAATTCGAATCAAATCAATTCGAATCAAATCAATTCGAATCAAATCAATTCGAATCAAATCAATTCGAATCAAATCAATTCGAATCAAATCAATTCGAATCAAATCAATTCGAATTAAATCAATTCGAATCAAATCAATTCGAATCAAATCAATTCGAATCAAATCAATTCGAATCAATTCGAATCAAATCAATTCGAATCAAATCAATTCGAATCAAATCAATTTGAATCAAATCAATTCGAATCAAATCAATTCGAATCAAATCAATTCGAATCAAATCAATTCGAATCAAATCAATTCGAATCAAATCAATTCAATTCGAATCAAATCAATTCAATTCGAATCAAATCAATTCAATTCGAATCAAATCAATTCGAATCAAATCAATTCGAATCAAATCAATTCGAATCCAATCAATTCGAATCAAATCAATTCGAATCAAATCAATTCGAATCAAATCAATTCGAATCAAATCAATTCGAATCAAATCAATTCGAATCAAATCAATTCGAATCAAATCAATTCAATTCGAATCAAATCTAATCAAATCAATTCAATTCGAATCAATTCAATTCGAATCAAATCAATTCAATTCGAATCAAATCAATTCGAATCAAATCAATTCGAATCAAATCAATTCGAATCAAATCAATTCGAATCAAATCAATTCGAATCAAATAAATTCGAATCAAATAAATTCGAATCAAATCAATTCGAATCAAATCAATTCGAATCAAATCAATTCGAATCAAATCAATTCGAATCAAATCAATTCGAATCAAATCAATTTGAATCAAATCAGTTCGAATCAAATCAATTAATTTCGAATCAAATAAATTCGAATCAAATCAATTCGAATCAAATCAGATCGAATCAAACCAATTCGAATCAAATCAATTCGAATCAAATGAATTCAATTCGAATCAAATCAATTCAAATCAAATCAATTCGAATCAAATCAATTCGAATCAAATCAATTCGAATCAAATCAATTCAATTCGAATCAAATCTAATCAAATCAATTCAATTCGAATCAAATCAATTCAATTCGAATCAAATCAATTCAATTCGAATCAAATCAATTCGAATCAAATCAATTCGAATCAAATCAATTCGAATCAAATCAATTCGAATCAAATAAATTCGAATCAAATAAATTCGAATCAAATAAATTCGAATCAAATCAATTCGAATCAAATCAATTCGAATCAAATCAATTCGAATCAAATCAATTCGAATCAAATCAATTCGAATCAAATCAATTTGAATCAAATCAGTTCGAATCAAATCAATTAATTTCGAATCAAATAAATTCGAATCAAATCAATTCGAATCAAATCAGATCGAATCAAACCAATTCGAATCAAATCAATTCGAATCAAATGAATTCAATTCGAATCAAATCAATTCAAATCAAATCAATTCGAATCAAATCAATTCGAATCAAATCAATTCGAATCAAATCAATTCGAATCAAATCAATTCGAATCAAATCAATTAATTTCGAATCAAATCAATTCGAATCAAATCAATTCGAATCAAATCAATTCGAATCAAACCAATTCGAATCAAATCAATTCGAATCAAATGAATTCAATTCGAATCAAATCAATTCAAATCAAATCAAATCAATTCGAATCAAATCAATTCGAATCAAATCAATTCGAATCAAATCAATTCGAATCAAATCAATTCGAATCAAATCAATTGGAATCAAATCAATTGGAATCAAATCAATTCGAATAAAATCAATTCGAATAAAATCAATTCGAATCAAATCAATTCGAATCAAATCAATTCGAATCAAATCAATTCCATTCGAATCAAATCAATTCCATTCGAATCAAATCAATTCCATTCGAATCAAATCAATTCGAATCAAATCAATTCAAATCAAATCAATTCGAATCAAATCAATTCGAATCAAATCAATTCGAATCAGAATCAATTCGAATCAAATCAATTCGAATCAAATCAATTCGAATTAAATCAATTCGAATCAAATCAATTCGAATCAAATCAATTCAAATCAAATCAATTCGAATCAATTCGAATCAATTCGAATCAAATCAATTCGAATCAAATCAATTCGAATCAAATCAATTCGAATCAAATCAATTCGAATCAAATCAATTCAATTCGAATCAAATAAATTCAATTCGAATCAAATCAATTCGAATCAAATCAATTCGAATCAAATCAATTCGAATCCAATCAATTCGAATCAAATCAATTCGAATCAAATCAATTCGAATCAAATCAATTCGAATCAAATCAATTCGAATCAAATCAATTCGAATCAAATCAATTCGAATCAAATCAATTCAATTCGAATCAAATCTAATCAAATCAATTCAATTCGAATCAAATCAATTCGAATCAAATCAATTCGAATCAAATCAATTCGAATCAAATCAATTCGAATCAAATCAATTAATTTCGAATGAAATCAATTCGAATCAAATCAATTCGAATCAAATCAATTCGAATCAAATCAATTCGAATCAAATCAATTCGAATCAAATGAATTCAATTCGAATCAAATCAATTCAAATCAAATCAATTCGAATCAAATCAATTCGAATCAAATCAATTCGAATCAAATCAATTCGAATCAAATCAATTCGAATCAAATCAATTAATTTCGAATCAAATCAATTCGAATCAAATCAATTCGAATCAAATCAATTCGAATCAAACCAATTCGAATCAAATCAATTCGAATCAAATGAATTCAATTCGAATCAAATCAATTCAAATCAAATCAATTCGAATCAAATCAATTCGAATCAAATCAATTCGAATCAAATCAATTCGAATCAAATCAATTCGAATCAAATCAATTCGAATAAAATCAATTGGAATCAAATCAATTCGAATCAAATAAATTCGAATCAAATCAATTCGAATCAAATCAATTCGAATCAAATCAATTCGAATCAAATCAATTCGAATCAAATCAATTCCATTCGAATCAAATCAATTCCATTCGAATCAAATCAATTCGAATCAAATCAATTCGAATCAAATCAATTCGAATCAAATCAATTCGAATCAAATCAATTCGAATCAGAATCATTTCGAATCAAATCAATTCGAATCAAATCAATTCGAATTAAATCAATTCGAATCAAATCAATTCGAATCAAATCAATTCAAATCAAATCAATTCGAATGAATTCGAATCAATTCGAATCAAATCAATTCGAATAAAATCAATTCGAATCAAATCAATTCGAATCAAAT